CGACCGCGACCGTGTCAGACCGCGGGCAGGACAGCGCCACGGACTGCCAGGCGCGGCGAGCTCCAAGCACGTGGCTGAGACGGCTCACATTGTCACTGCTTCAGTGGTCACTGCAGAGTGCATATTTAGAAGATTCAGTTTGTTTTATTCTGAGTGATTTTGATGCGCTGAGTAAAACTGCGTTCGGAACCGTCCGAGCGGCTTCGAGTGACTGATGCCATTTAATGGGAGTGTCCCACCTTTGGGACATATTCGAAAACTTGCTATAGTGAGACCTCATGACTAGTTACGTCCAATAATAGCTGTGGGTATTGCCACCGCAGCACCGTCAAAACATAATTTATGATACCAATTTTAATCATTTTCTAGTCCAAATTACGCTGTCAAAGCTTTGTAACAGCAGAACGCTTTTTTCCTTGCCTTGCAGGTGCGCCAACCGTCATCATGACAACCACCGTGCGCACCTCTACTGGTGCGAATAAAGGAGCGCTTATGATTTGCCCCACGAACAAGGGCCTGTTACTGAGAATTCGGCTGGTTCAAGTTTAAACCAGTGCGTCGCATAGATCATGTGATACTCCCATTCCCAAAGCCAATGTGCGTCTCGAAAAGAGCCGCCGCGGTAAATGTCAAAGGGAGAAACCAAAGCCATAGTATGACGTTTCGCTGAAGTCGCGAGATAACGGCTTCATGTTTGCACATTGGTTTGTCTAAACAGAGTGTTTCTCAACCTCTCGTAGCCTTTACTACGCAAACATTTTGACACATTAGTGTGTTGCAAACATTACAAAACACGTACGTTGGAAAAAAACAAGGAGAATTGAATGAATTATTTGTGTAATGGTGAGCGAGGAGTCAAATGATATTGCTCCCGCGGGGTCGTTTACTTCGAATAGAAACTCTAGGCTTTTTCAGAAGTCCCTTTAAGAAGCTAACTAGGTTTGCGTGAAACAAGAGCAGTACTTTTCCAGCTCGCAGCGTCGAAGGGACACCAAGCCATGATTTGGCAGCTGGAATGAGTGTATCCTTGACATCATGCTTGGCCAATCATTGGTCTATTTGCTGTTGTGGCTGAGACCGGCCTGGGTCGTTCGCTCATACAGCTAGCGAATGGATACCGCAGAATTTCCACCTATGAACGCTGAGCTGTTTATTAGCACTTCGTGGCGTTTGACGCCTTTTGGGGGCACCAGTGTGTACATGGCCTCGCCGTGACCGCAGCGGTCATGCCGCTAGACACATCTGACGCTCGGGGTCTGCTGACCACGCTTCGTGGTAGGCCAACGGAAAAGTTACCTTTCAATAATTTCACCAGATAATTAACTGTGTGAGCTCGAATGAGCTAAGCACATTAGAAAAAGCAGGGGAAATTGCGTTTTGGCCAGTTCTTTCCACACAACATCAACACTAATGATGCTGTGGATGATGTATCTCTTCTTGGGACTTTCTTGTCAATAGTCCCATGGCTTATGTCCTAAGCCCATATGCAAGCAAATAAAACATAACTGCATGACAACTAAGGCTAACATCACGCCAGCACGTTGTCCGTGAATGATGATATGTTTCAGAACAGCTTGAAAATGAAGCGAAACATTTTGAAAATCAAACTTTTTATGCCAACGTTGAGCTGACCGTAACGGAAATGTATGCCTCCGTGTATAAAATCCCGGGTTGTAACTACGATCATCTCTGGCTGGTAAGCTGGGGCAATTTTTAAAACGAGTTTTGCGAACTCAGTTTTGCTTGCCATACATTTGTGCCAGAAACGTACTGTGAATAAAACTCACCTCCACTCCCTGTTGTCTTCTGGTCACATGGTCTCATGGTCCAAAATCATTAAAGACGTGATCGTAGTGACATTTTTTTCTGCGTACTCTCCACCACGTAGCGCACACTCCCCTCATCGACCGAAAAAAATCCACTTACTTATCGGTGGTGGGGGCTGCAGGTCGTTAACGCGCCACCATTGTCTTTCTCTCCAAAACTGGCAGATCGTAAATCATCGGGACCTCGAATCCGTCTGGGTCCTGACGGCATCCTTTCCCAGTGCGACTGTTCATTTACCGCCGACCAGACTAATCGCTGCTAGTGCGCTGTTTGGAGCGAAAGCGATGGTCGATTTTCATCCCGTGCTTTAGGATGTCAATACACTTGTGGGGGCAAGGCCGTTTGCCGAGCCTCGTAGCATTTGGACCTGTTTGTACAATGGTTTACTTTGCAGTTTACGGGTGGTACGTTCTTCTGGAAAGAGGCGTTTGATCTTGAGTGGCTGCGGCGCACGTTACGTGCTTGAAAACGATAAATGCGTCGTTACATGCGTGCATTCTCGACAGCCAAGGCACATTGTTCGACTCAGGCTGCGCTTCGTCAATTAGGAACCATGGCTCTGAGCCAAAGGACGCCTTCATCGCCACATCGGCGCCGATGTGTGATATTGACTAACGAGGTGAGATGGCGAACGCGGGTGTCCGCCTCCGAGGTGACGCACTGGGTGCTAGCGCGTGTCGGTGAGCCGTCCCAGGGCGGGGTAGCGGGCGTGATGAACATCTCGAGACGACGGCGGGTGACAGAGACTGCAGGTACCCCAAGGTGCCTTCAGATATTGTGAAATGGTATGGCATTACATATTGAGACTTCGAGTCCGCCACTGACACTTCGAGACCTTTTCGAGCTTTTGTTCGCTATTTTTCGTCAATTAATCCCCATCCAGTGAGCAGAGAAGATACCGTGAGCATGGATAGATAACGTTGATGTGAGGTACCCATTGGTTCTCAACAGTGTCGCTCTTGAACAGTGGGCATGGGAATAGGTCCCATGAAGTCTAGTTAGACAAACTGATATGAGAAGTCACTCCTATTCGCCAACATGTCGGCATGTTGCGGCAACAAGGGTGAAAGCAAGTCCTCAGAAAGTGAAAACCACGCTGGTAAACACGTTGCTGGCCTCATTCTCAAGCACGAGCTGAACACCGGGTTCCATGTATCCGTTGTCAGGTGACCCCCCCCCCCCCCCTAAGAGGGAGAGTTCAGGCACGCTTGCGTGGCATGACTAGCCCGCTGAAGTTTCCGTCGGCTCTCTCCGTGGACTCTCTGGACTCTCCGTACCCAGGCGGCCGCCCAACGGCTCTGCTGAAGCCTGCACGATCCCGCACCCGGTAACTGGAAACGGTCGCTAAGGCGGCCTGACCTGACCTGCGTCCGGATGACCGGCAGACTCGTGCAGGCGGGGTCGATGGAGAACACTGCGCACGAGTCATACTACGCTAGTCTTCCCGCCCTTTCCCATTGGATATGCCGCTAAACGGGGTGGAAGATGCGTTTTGTCTCGCCGCCGTCGGCTTCTGTACGCGACGTATCACGTTATCGGTGCATCTTATCATTCTGCTAGTGTCTGACTTAGGCACATTCGTGTATACAGCGCGCTTACGTGCAGGTGTATTTTCAGACATCGCGAGATGCGCCCGAATGTGCATTGCCATTTTTTTGTGTGTTGTGGTTCAATAGGACTCCGGTCGTTCCAACAAATGCCAAGGTAATCACCATTCAGGGTAACGTAAAGACACAGTGAACGCGGCATACACAACTCGCCTTTGAGCATGGCATCCACAATTTACTTTCAAGGTACTCACCATAATCACCAAAGGTAATCACCATTCAGGGTACCGTGAAGACGCGGTGAGCGCGGTATGCACAACTCGCTCTCGGGCATGGCATGCACAACCCGCCTTCGAGTGTGGCATGCACACCTTGCGTCATGGCATGCACAACTCACCTTTGGGTACGGCATGCACAGCTCGCCTTTGAGCATAGCATGCACAACTCGCCTTATGAGCATAGCATGCACACCTCGCCTTCGAGCGTGGCACGCACAACTCGTCTTCGAGCATGGCACACACGACTCGCTTCTGAGCCGCATTGTAACTGTAGGACAGAAGCCGTATATTGTAAAGGGGCAATAAATGAACAGTTACCTGGACGTAACGTCGACCGTAATACAGGCCATGGAATGACCGCGCAGTGGACATTGCGAATCCTGCAAGCGCACCACAGACAACTTGTGTCCGTCCGTCTGTTTGCACTTCGCCTGAGAGCGACACGGACAGCGCCTCGAGTGAGCGAGGCGCTGTGGAGGCGGGCCACCTTTGTCCGCCGCTGCGGGCCGTGCCGCGAGCGCGTGCGGCGCCTCTCTCTTCTCCGATCCGCGGTGACCAGGCGCTGTTGTGGAGAGGGACGTTGGGGTGCCGCTGTGGTTTGTGCCGCGTCGGGCGACTTTCTCCGCGAGTTCGCCGGCCCCTCGCCACACGGGTCACGCGCGTTCGCCGCCGTGTTGTGTGCACGCCGGTCGGGTGTCGGCCAGCTCCGGTTCGCTCGGCCGTGCTGTTCACTCGGTCTGGCGCCGTGCGGTACGCCGCGGCCGCAAGAGCTGCTCGGCTCGGCGTTGCTCGGTCTGCAGCCGTCTGCGTCGCCACTTGGCCTGGTGCAGTGCGGTCGGCTTCGCCTGCAGCATGGACACGCAGGCTGGTGCCGCCCCGTGAGTCAAGACGCAACGCGGCTTGTGCGTGGTGCTCTTGTTGCGTCACTTGGTGCTGCAGGAGGATCCCGCATTCGCCGCCAGACTTCTGAAGTTTTCTGTAATCGCCTTCCGTAGGTTTAAGTTGTGGTGGGCTCGGTTGACGCGTACCTGGACTAACACAACCTCGATGGTGTTCGGAAGTTGGTCGTGGAACAACCGCTTTTTACTGGAAAGAATTTTATCTCAGAGCGCATGCAAATCATGGACATTTCTGGTGCCGAATGTCTTGTCTAAGTGTGTTATGTGGATGTGCTGGATGAATGATTGATGATCCCAAATCCATGCTTGATATCGATCCAGAGGTTATGCAACATTTTGCTGGAAACACGGCGGCGTTATCATGCAACACGTGAAGGACGGTAGATCATGAGCTCCTACGGCTGTGTAGCAACCATAGCCGTGAGCACAGTGTCTGACCCCTATTGCAGTGGTGGTGTGACTGCCTTGGAGCCGGAAGACGTGGACAAGGGCTCCAGTATGAGGACTACGTGGACCAACAAAATTGAGTTTGTGCTTGCCTGCCTCGGGTACGCCGTTGGCCTGGGCAACCTCTGGAGGTTCCCTTACCTCTGCTACAAGTCAGGGGGAGGTGAGACGCGCGACTGAATCTGACGTGATTTGCATCCTAAGTTAACAGCAAAGTTCACTGGCCATGCGATGTGACATGCAAACAAACTTTCTCATCATAAAGACAGATCTTTCGCTTTAATTTAATCAGCGTGGGACAAGAGACGATTGGGAGGATTCACAGCTGTTAAGTATGTTTGAACATAGTTTCCTTGGCAGTGTCGTCATTGCTGCCTCGAGTCGTCGATGTGTGATGCCGCTGTGGCTGCGGTGAACGGCTTATGCCGGGAACGCTGTTTGGTGAATCCCGTTGAATCCCGGTGAATCTGTCATGCATGAACACCAAAGTTGTTTGCGGGATGCCTTTCTTGCGCATGGTCAACACTCCATGCAGCTGTTTCATATTTCGTTGATTTATCCTAAATTATCGTTGCTCCATGCTTGTATTTTGCTTGGTGTTCGGTCCAGCAGGCTTTAGTTTTATCCGGATATGCCGAATAGCCATCGGTCGTATACGTATATACGTATATCACGCATGCATAATGTCACTCCATGTTACGCTCGCTCGTCCGCTATCCACGTACTACGGAACGTCACCCGTTTGATGTGTGCGGTGCGACATCGGCCCGAATGTCCGCGGCCGTTCACAGTCCCAGCCACGTCCGGGTTTGTCCGCGCCGCCCACCCACCGATTCTGTATGTTTCAGGGGCGTTTCTGATTCCGTACTTCATCATGATGTTCGTGTGTAGCATCCCGCTGCTGCTGATGGAGCTGGCCGTCGGGCAGTTCACCAGACAGGGTCCCGTCGGGGCCATGCAGCGACTCTGCCCACTGCTCAAAGGTCAGCGGGGCGCCGCAGGGGGGGGGGGGGGGGCGCACCTCTGCACCGGCCAGCGCACACACGCGCACTCCTGCAGGGTTTTATGAATGGTAGCGCTGCTCGCAGCCGTTGTGTTGGCATACGGTGCTGATACATGTGTTGTGTTATGTGCAGACTTCCTTTACGTGGCGTAGAGGAGGACCTTTTACCAGATTGTCGTATTCAGTTAGCGCCTCCATCTCCAGAAGGTTTTGTAAGATCGCCTGGTATGAGCGAAGTAGGCTTAGGCCAGTATCTTCCTGGCTAAATTCCTCTAGATCAGTCGACGTCTCACCTCCAGGAAGTTCCGCAAGACCGCTGGATAACGATGTTAGTATAAGGTGGATGAATTATAAGCGGGGCACCTGCTTTGTTTTTTTTCTTCCGGAAACCGGTTCAATGCTTGTAGTAGTATTAAGGTAACCGCAATGGTGCCCTTCGCGTTGTTTTTTTAATAACTAATCCGTTGAGACCGCGAGCAGCGCCGCCATGAACACTTTTCTTGTTGCGTTGCCGTCAGTCAAGTCGTCAGAGCCAGTTTGCGAACGGGAAAGCGAATGGATGATATGACGACCTTTGAATTGGGCTTCAAGGTAAAAAGGATCCTTACCAATGTATTTAGATTTTATCAGGATCTTTGGAAACAAACTATTGTCACGACTCACAAATGGATGTCATTCCCGGCTGGGAACTTGATGCCAGCTGTATAAGATTCATGAACACAAACTCATTGCTCGAGCATTCTTACCATGAGCTATGCCATCAGCGGTGTTAGTATAGTGTTCGGTCGGTGCTTGTTGGAAGCAAGAATTTCCGGTGTTAACAAGACTAAAACACCGTAAGCAAAGCGATTTTATTGCGGAGGTTTCATTCTGGGCGGAGGGGAAAAGGGGGTTAATGTACCCATCGATCCTATGTTGTCCTGCTTTGCCCGACAACATCACGGTCAGCTGACATCAGATATCAGCTGATTACTAGATTCCAATCAGTGGTTAGAACTGGTTAACCTGGCACGGGGCGGCCGTGTTGGAGTGATTTACACCAGGAAGATTCCCCGCAACCCTGTCCCGCAAAAAAGCCAGCAAGCTTAAACTTCTTTTTTTGTTCAAATAATATTATGAAGGTGCTAGAGCTTGCGGAATGCTCTTACGATTTATATAACATCTTTCTTTTTCCGGGTTTGTTTCTTGCGCCGTCATAGTTCTGCGAGAATTTGTTCGCATATGGGCCGATGGAGGACGGAACTGTCGGTGGCACTTTTATTTTGGTTTCGTTTTGATCCATATTGTTACGGCCGGGGGCGAAAGGTGCGAGTAACAGCATATGAGATGCCGGAATGCGTTTGAGTTGACAAAACTGTTTGTCAGATTTTTTTATTTATGGTGAAAACGCTTTCGAAAATTAATATCCGTTAATGCCTTGTTCATTACATTCACCCTGGTTGCTGGATATGTCGACGACTGGCGCGGGTTGAAGCTTGACTACGTCGCGGGCGTGTAGCTAGCACACCAGACCAGGCCATGACAGGACTGGTTTATCTCTGTTCCCACGCAGGCAGTCGCCGACCTTTCTAAGACCGATGGTGTTTATGCACAGGCTTGTAGCGCATCGTGCATGGATATCTGGTTCATTTTTCAGAGATATAAACATCCGCCGCTGCTCTACAGATTCTGCCCTCGATAGTGGGATGCGTTCGAGGAACGTCAGGGATTGTACGTCAGGGTTTGGGTTGGCAGCTGCGCACGGACGGAGCTAGGGACATGGTTCGAGGAACGTCAGGGATTGTACGTCAGGGTTTGAGTAAGCTGCTAAGCACGGACGGAGCTAGGGGCACCCTTCGTAATAACCTTTTCCGAAGCAAAGGCCTGCGATAGCTGCGATGGATCTCGTCTGACTGTTCAAGCACGATCGCGAAGTTAAAGAATGGTGCTACGAAGGAGGCGGACTTGAGACGTCATGAAATATATGCACATGGAGGACATTTTAACCTTAATCAGTGCTCATTCGTGCCTATTATCGTTTGCATCTCACCAGGCTGTCGCTTATCTGCACTCCTGGTCTAAAACATATGTAGTGTGGTCCAGAAGGAGCTAGTACACCCACACCTCTTAAACACCTGGACTGCATGAAGAATAGCAAAGCATGCCAGCCACTGGGGTTTTGCACGGAGCCTGCTGTTGTAGTCTACGCTGTGACCTTTGAAAGCCCGTTCGCTACTGAGGCGAGGTGCCGCGATTGCCTCGGAAGTTCCATAACATCATTGCTCGACTATTTATCGCACGGTGACGCACAGTTCGTGGAACAGCGCCGCTGTGGCCCCGCCTGTTTGACCGTTGGCGTGCGGTTCGCGGAACGCTGCTCCTGTGTCCACGAATGCTCGATCGTTACCGGCATGGTTACTGCAGGTTTGACCGGTCAACCCATCTTTGTAATGTGGTGTACAGTGTCGAACGGTTGTGTTTCTGCACTATTGACCAATGCAGGCTAGCTGGACCGGCAAACACCCGAGCCCCTGTAGGTTTGTGTGCTGAACATTTATGTCCCTGCATGCTTGACCCGTGCACCCTGCATGTTGAACCGACGTTTTGCAGGCTTGGATGGTGATGACCCGTCTACTGCATGCATGGCTGGTGATGGCCGGTTTGGTGCGGTGTTGACCGGTGATGGCCTGAGTACCGCAGGATTGATCTGTTATCGCCTGAGTACCGCAGGATTGATCTGTTATCGCCTGAGTACCGTAGGATTGATCTGTTATCGCCTGAGTACCGCAGGATTGATCTGTTATCGCCTGAGTACCGTAGGATTGATCTGTTATCGCCTGAGTACCGTAGGATTGATCTGTTATCACCTGATTACCGCAGGATTAACCGGTGATCGACTGAGTACCGCAGAATTGACCAGTGATCGCCTGAGTACCGCAGAATTGACCGGTGATCGTCTGAGTGCCGCAGGATTGACCGGTGATCGTTTGAGTGCCGCAGGATTGACCGGTGATTGCTTGAGTACCGCAGGATTGACCGGTGATCGTCTGAGAGCCGCAGGATTGACCGGCCAGCACCTATTCACTGCTGCACCAACCAGGGCTTGCAGTCTGCGGCAGTTTTGACCGAGAAACGCCCGTGTGCTGCAGGCACGGACCGTGAACGCCAGTGCATTGTAGGTTTCGCCTGTGACCTCCGTTTCCCCGCAGGTGCCGGGCTGGCGACCGTCGTCATTTCATTCCTGTTCTGCTCCTACTACAACGTGGTGATCGCCTGGGCGCTCTACTACATGTTTGCCTCGTTCCGGAGCGAGGTCCCGTGGGCACGCTGTAACAACACGTGGAACGAAGCCTCGTGCCAGGACACGTTCAGCCCGAACACATCGGTCGCAGATAACGTCACTACACCATCCGAGGACTACTTCTAGTGAGTGGACGTCATCGCCGCCGCATTATTGCCCACATATATCGTTATGTCATATGATATAATGGTATATTTTTAGCAATATCATAATCCCATATATCATTTCCGCCGAACGACCGCAATGCATTCTTACCGTGAGGCTCCGCAACACGTATAAGTGAGGGCGCGTGAGCGCACATGAGCAGAGGTACGTGAGACCATTGTACTAGCTCACATTTAACCATTACCGCCGAACGACGTAAATTTATTCGCTACGTGAGGCTCCGTAACACGCACCATCATCCGAATTCCACACACACGCGCACCCATCCAGGCGCACGCCGGGCAAGCAGACCTAAGGAAATGGAGGCACGTGCATGCGGGGAGGCATTTGCCAGGTTGGAACAGTTTTACGCACGAACCTCGAGGCATGACTTGTCGTCTTCTGTTAAATGCCGCATTTTACACTGCGATTTATTTACTTTTGGTCTCAATACGACCGCGCCCTTTTACCCGTATCCTTGGCTTTTGCTATGTGAAACCTGGATTCATCTGTATCGTTGTGTTGATTTCTGAAATACTTTTCCTGAAGTAGTCATTGGCGTGGGCTATACCATCTGTTCAGGAAGACCGCACCGTTCTTCAATCACGTGCTTCCAGCTTTCCATCGTCCGTGTATCGACCATCCCATCCGCGTATCTGAGTCTGACGTCACGGGCAGCATCGGCTGGTACACCCAGCCGTTGGTTATGGGTAGCTACTGTCGATACCGACAACGTCTGGCCTGGGGCGGTCTCGACGATGATTCATCGCTGTCTGCCCTCACACGTGGTGCTGGAATAGCCCGTGAGGATGCATTTGAACAGGGCGGGTGATTTTCGGCTTGACGTGCCGGTGTGTTTGGAGTGATGTTATGCGCGCGCCTAAGGCCTGGTTGGCGGGTAATAAGTCGACATCTCTATCTCTAGCCTCGGCGTTACTCACGACACGCTTGTTTCGGCCGGCGGCAAAACAAGACAAAGGAAATGAAGGCGTGCAAATGCTGAGGGTACCCTGAATCCAGGGCACCGTGTCCCGCGCATGTACCCTTCCACACACTCATGACTTGGCCAGTCCTTTAATACTTGACAGGCCAAAATGGAAGCACTTGAGATGGGCACCCCACACTGTTTGCGATCCTGAAAATAAACCATTCCATGAGGAAGCTTGGATACGGCGTCGGGCGGCAGACACATGTCCACGCGATCCCGCAGAAAGAAGAATGGCAGGTCGCAACCAATGAAAAAGCGTTCCCAAGTGTGATTCCGTGTTGCGGAGACGGCCCTGAAATTAACATCTTGGTCGACATTCCTACGTACTTTGAGACTCAGACAGGGGTGACAATCCCAACTGCTTTGGCAACCACCTCGACGTATGGCCTGCCCAATAATGAAGCCCTTTATTTGCTTTCGTCGCCAAGTGAAATGAGCCTCATCATTCCCCGAGCGTTACAATCCGGGGATGTTTTTGGGAATTCCTGATTCCTGAGTTGGCCAATCCTGCGTCGGACACTGGCACCTTGCCTCCGGGTCGCCGTTGGCTGCAGATTCCTCAGTTACCCCACGTAGGAATCTCCGGAGTCCCTGATCAAGCCCCGAAGCTCCGCCTTGGCTGGCCGGTTGGTCTCACGGTTCTCCGTTTGTGAGGTCACACACCGTTCACTGTCTTCGGAGGCCCTCGCCGGCCATCGGTCACCGTGCTCTGCGACGTCCCCCCAATTAAAGCAGGCTGTGCAGTAAGTCGCGTAAGATGGGCACCCACAGTATGACTTCACCCTTCTTAGTATGCATCATCAGTCATGTTATTCGGGCCCACTCGAGCAGCAGGTATCTTATCCGTTCGTTACGGGTTTCAGCGCGAGTTATTCCAGCCGTCGTCTGTGCGATGGAAATCTCCGCTGGGATACGCCTTTTTATCAAGACGGTACATTCTAAAAACGTGTCTTGGTTTATCAACCCTCTCGTTGGCACTGAGGACGGCGAGCTCAGAGCCGCAGCTAATGACGGGAGCGCAGTGATTTAATTTCCCGGCCCGCCGCTCGGCCTGCCTGGCCGCCGGCGCAGAAAACACCCATTTTCAAGAAGCTACGTTCTTAAGCCATGCGCAAACCTGCAGGCCATTCCCGTGGATCCAATTTTATCTTCAATTAGTTGTTTATGCATAACCCAGACTTACTGCAGTCTCTCGCTGGGGTCAATGTGTCTCAGGGGACTCAACAAGTCCCCGCTTCTGAAGCGAAGAACCCGTGTCTGAGTGATACAGTCCTCGCCCCCACGGGTATGACGCTCGGGGTACGGCGCTCAAGCTATGGCGCTCGGGGTATGACGCTCGGGGTGCGGCGCTCGGGGTACGGCGCTCGGGGTACGGCGCTCGGGGCACGGCGCTCGGGGCGCGGCGTTCAGGGTACGGCGCTGGGGTGCGGCGCTCGGGGTACGGCGCTCGGGGCGTGGCGCTCGGGGTAAGGCGCTCGGGTGTGTCGCTCGGGGTATGGCGGTCAGGGTTCGACGCTCGGGTGTGGCGCTCGGGGTATGGCGGTCAGGGTACGGCGCTTGGGGTATGACGCTCGGGGTATAGCATATGTAGTTGCGTGACGCACTCTGCTGTCGGACATGTTGTTGGCATTGATATGGGCGTGTTCTGGCTCTCAGCCGGAATGCACTTTTTTCGTATCTTCAGTCGATTCCTTCATTCATTAACCCTATAATTAAAGGAGAAAGAAAAAATATGTACTAGCACACATTTACAACAAATGTAGGATTGTCGTGCACAGAACGGTTTCGTTTTACACGAATTTGCATTGATAATTTTACGGTAACAAGCATTCATGCGATGATAAGTCTTTGATGGGCAACGGATTCTTTTGATGCGCGAGCGCTCAGAAGCGTGGAAATGACATTCGAGTTAGTTCCTGCGCTCGTTGAGGCGCCCCATTGAACGATGCCAGGGAACAGGTTACAGCCAGAAGACGAAACCAATGGGCGCAATATAATCGACTGTCAAATCGGCTGCCAGCGAACTGCCGGCCGGGAGACGAGCGGCGTTCCGGCGTGCAGTTTATTTCCGTGGCCTGGCCCCTAGTCCACCTGTTGAAATCCCTTCCATCCCCTCCATTTGAGCCCCAGGCGTCCGATCGTGCTCGGATTTTGCGACCACCGATTTTTGCACTTCTTTCATGTCATGTTCGATCGCTTCCGAGCTTACAGTCTGGGCCTTGGTATCCCACCACGACATGCATTTTTTCCAACTGCATTTGATCATTACCTGTGATAGTCACGTGGCTTGATCAAAACCGGAGGCAATGACTTCTCTGAGAACGAAGCGCACACCAGATCCATATCGGGGCCTGTACCTCTCCATGTGTTAGTTCCTTACGTAACGGGTCTCGCCGCAGTCCTCCACCTGGCGTCCAAGGTGTAGCCGTTTCATTTTGAATGGCTGATCTGACGTTGGGATCGTGAGGACGTTATCAGTCTTCATTTTGGGATACCGGGAGCCCGCGTTAAGAATTAACGAACGACAGGAACGACAGCGATCGGGCACTTTTTACTGAAAATAAAGTGGCATGCTGCTGGGTTACGGTGCACCAGCCTCACAGCGCTCCTCCCCCCCCCCCCCCCCGCCCACCGCTAGTGTGGTCCTTCGTCCGTCGCTGCCGATCTCGCCGGTCCCTCTCCGTATCACCGGTCCTGATCGTTTCATTTTTTCTTGGGGGGGGGGAGGGGGGGGGGGGGCCATGCGTCCATCCCAACCTGTTTTGTTCTTCTTTCTGCCGTCAGGGGCAGATCCCGGCGCTAGTGCTGCCTTGTGCCGTCCCCGTCCCTGCAAAAACACCGATGCTGTCTGTAGTTCGGCGCTGATTTGTGTGGGTGGGGGATCGTGAATATTCGTGGTTTACTTGCTTTTGCATGGAGTATATCCATCCCGGATCAGCCTGTGTCCTCACGGCCGACATCAGCCAACGCTTTTTGCTCCCTTCCCATCGAGATCGCACGATTGGGGAGAGGCGAGGGCCGTCTGGCGACTGTTTGCTCACCTGAGCCTGCCGGACAGACTGGGCACCTCACGGCACTGGTTACGTACCGAACTGTGCTCGAACGGATGAGGAGAGGCGGGGGCCGTCTGGCGACTGCTTGCTCACCTGAGCCTCCCGGACTGACCGGACATCTCACGGCTCTGGTAACCCGCCCAGCTGTGCCTGAACGGGTTCCGACCAACTGAATAACCTTCAAAGCATCGTCCAGAGTACAAACAAGCCATACCAAAGGCTCGTGTACACAGTCATTGAGCGCTAATCGATAGCCTTATGTACCGCAACGCTTGCCGGCCATTGCGTCGTTTTCAGTCGCCCCGCCATTGCACATCACCCAAACACATTATCGCGCTTTCAGCAGAATTGTGCATTGCGGTAGGAGAAGTGTTCTCATCAGTTATCGTCAGGCCACCGATCCACTTGATGAGTTGCTGCATCGTTCACGTGTGTCGTCAGAGGTAGTGGAAGTCCTCCAAATTGGGGGAATCCGGACACCCATTTTGGTCACTTCTTTTCAGGCAATGCTCATAGGACCAGTGCCAAATTCTGGGAGAGTAGGGGGAGGGAGGCTTGGCCTGTCCCCACCTCCCACCCCCTGGGCTTCTAGTTTCCGCGCCGATGTGTGCTGCCCTCATCGGTGACCGCTCCCGCCACGCCCGCCCGGTGGTCCTCGTCTGCAAGTGCCGCACCCCGCCACACGCCGCGCAGAGCGGGGGAGGGGGAGCGGGACACCACGTGCAGGCCGCGGCGCTGTGACTGGCTTGCAGCCACGCGGCTGGCAGTGCAAGGCCGCCAGGTGCGTCCACCAGTCCTTGGTCGCCCTGTCGGCCGTGAGGTGGGTGCCTGGCTGACGTAATCCCAGCTGTAGTCTTATGGAAAGGTCAAGATTCGCGTGTTTGATACGGGCTCTATCCGCCTTTCCGTTCTCCTAAGTTTCCTTTTTGAAAGTGTGTGAGTCTTATTGAAGCATGGCCGGCTGTCAGTGCTCGGGCTGTTACACCGCTCATCATGCGACTGGCCCGCCTACACAGAGTGAAGTGATGCCGTCGTTACACTGGTGGCCGGCCGCCCGCCAGCACCGGTGCCCCTCTCCAGAACTATTACGGTCGCTGTTTGGCGGCGTGGCATGCAATGTACGGCGTTAACGTATACATAAACGGTTCAAAATAATATGAGCGTATGCTTACAAAGCAATAAACGTATGTTTTGCCGGTAATCCTTCTGTCAGGGTTATGCATGTTGAAGGCAAATTAGCGGACTTATTTTCTAAAGATTTGAGCGGTGCTCTTTCGATAGATGCGAACCAAATCTAATCAGATGATGATAATAAGCTAACTAGTAGGGACAAATCTTGAGTGCAATTGTTCGTAGTTCCGTACATGTCGCATCATCGTGGTACATATATGACATGTACATCTGGATGTGATGAATGTTTGCGTTTTCGTAATGCGCCAGGAGCAGCGTCTACTCCAACTGACGCTAATCCATCATGCAACCAGAGGTGTGGCCGAAGCATGGCTGCAGATATCACGGCTCATTGACGGGCTTCAGATGTTCACCAGCAGACACAACATGGATTACTATCGTGTTCCCTTGTTTCACGCGTTGCACGTTGCCTGGCAACCGTCGCGTGTCAACGAAAGCCTCGGGCTCGGTCAGCCCGGGTCGATTGCAAGAGTAACAGAAGGTATCTGAAATTGCGGGTGCCGTTAGCCATTTTTAGATACTTATTTACAGTTTTTTTGTTTTTGCTCTAAGAGCCAGACGAAAAATGGGGGGGGGGATGGGAAGCCCAGCCAATGGTGTGACCAAAATTTTGCCCAGGAGTAGGCCAAAGCGAGCGATAAGGGGTCCGTCGGCAAAAAAAAAACCTTTTCGTCGCTTGGTGCCCGATTTTGGACTAGGAACCTTTTCAATATTGTGATGCTATTTTGATTCCTCGAGAGGGTCTTAAACTGCCAAAATATGCTGGCGCTGTCCGCGCCGGGGCCCGATTGCCCCCTGGCTATGCCACTGGGTTCAGCCCCGACTTCATCCCCCCCCCCCCCCCTGTCCCCGGTAACCGTTGCCCTGGTCGATAAGTCCAGCTGGCAGTGCTGAGGCACAGCCGTTCTACTCGTCTTTTCATTCATACGTGGACCGACAGAACGACATGCCGTTAATAACTATGTGCTAGTGAGAGCACTACTTCAGCTTGCAACCGTGGCTTACGTACGAAACAGATGCAATATCCCGAAACATAGAAATGCTCACTAAATTTCATGAAATCTGTTCGTTTAATTTCGTACTGAAAAACTCGTGTGCTTCAAAGTCCAAGTTTCCCATATTCCACGAAATGACGTGACCTAGGGATCTCCATCACGGTGGCGATGACCTGACAAACAATGCTGCTTCTCGTCCCCACTTGGCTGCCCACGACCTCAAGCCGTGCTCCTGGTTTAAATCGTTTCATCCCTACGACCGGACCGACGGCTGGGCCCGGCTGGCGAATGCAGCGGTCGTTCTTGTTCCGATTCCAAGGTTAATAGGAGGCGCTTCGGTGTTACCGATGCATTCGTACCATGCACCGGAGGCGTGTCAGAGAATCGATTTGTGACCTTAGGAGGTTCGGGTTAAAGGGAATGCTCCACGCTTAAATGGAGTTTTGAACCCAAATAGATACATCGAAGATCATTCGGCGCAGTTCGCAGTCCTGTCCTTTTTAAGACCTAAACCCGTCAAGGTTCTGAGCTACACATAAGCGAAGATGTGTAGACACCTTCGGGGAGACTATTTCAAGGTCACATCCATAAGTTCCAATCGCGAGGTGCTACGATGTGGCGGCACACTTTTAAGCGCGTGGTGGCACACCTGAGATGCTATGGTGCGGTTGTTTCCGTATCGAGATGTTGCATGTAACCCACTAAATGTGTTCCCAGCCATGAAGTGCTGCAGATCACGGACGGTATAGAAGAGGTCGGATCCGTGCGCCTCCCCATATTCCTCACGCTGCTGCTGGCCTGGGTGCTCGTGTATTTCTGCATCTGGAAATCTATCAAATCCTCAGGCAAGGTAAGTGCTGAAGCCCTAGCAGGCCCTCCGTAAGTCCGTAAAGGCCGACTGCACAGCGCAGCATTCAAGATTACTTCGAAAACTTCTGAGGAGACCCGGTCTACCCCTCCCCATTCTTACGAATTTCATATTGTGACGTAACGTGTATGACTACGCATGGAAAAAATGACCCTTCAAAATTTCAAAGTTACTCTTGGAGCCTTCCAGCTATTTTAAGAGACGCTCGTGAGAGACGCCCGTTGTTGAAGGAGCCAAAAGAACTCACAAAACATTCCAAGTCGCACCACGCGCACAAGCTCCTCGCCGCCGTCTGCGCAGGCGCGTCACTCTGACCCGCGTTTGGCTGTCCGCCGTCCAGGATATCAGGCTGTCCGTCGCCTCCTTTAGAGCCCCTTCCGCGTGGTTCGCCGCAGAGCGACGCCGATTGCCTGCGGTCAGGTCGTCACCTGTTGGCTGGGTGTCGACAGGTCGTGTACTTCACCGTCATAGCGCCGTACGTGCTCATCGCGGTCTTCCTCTGGCGGGCCCTGACTCTGGATGGCGCCACCGACGGACTGCGTTTCCTGTTCGATCCCAAGTGGGAGTTGCTGAAGGACGCCAAGGCAGGTCTCCCGCAGAGCGACGTGGCTTTGATAAATGTCGCGCGCACTTGATCTGAAGGGGAAGGGGAAGTGTAAGGCGATGTTAGATGAGACGTGGCGCGCTTTATACTGTTGTGTTTTATATTGTATACAAAACAAAACCACCCTTCGACTCGGTGAATGAACCTATGCGATTCGTTTTTCCCTACCAATCGGGCGCTGACTTTTGTTTAAAGAAAGGAAAAGGGAGAATTTTCTGCAACACAGTTTTTTTATTCGTGATGACAGTATGCAGCTGGTTTCCTTCCAACGTCAGTGTGGCATATCAGTCGGCAGCACACAGTTTCAGCATCTCACACTCAAAAGTTTGCTGCATATTTTGCACATAACTTAGCGCATTTTGAACTAAACACATAACTAAGCACATTTGTGAAGCAAACGACGAGTGACGAGAGCTGCGGGTTTTCATGGCATGCACAGAGCACGGAAATGCGGGCCGCGCAGTGAAGCACTGCAGGCCCTTGGGCTGGAAGATCCCGCAGAACCCAGCGGGACGAAGGCTGGTGAGCTGGCGGCGTTCTGTGTAGTCTCGTGGCAGAGCCACTGCCGCCTCAGACGTGGCTAATCGCTAATCGTTGCTTTGCGTGCTGTGGTAAACGGCCCTTGTTTCATGTGCTGTTCGGTGGCGCAGGTATGGGTAAACGCCGCTGCGCAGAACTTCAACTCCGTCGGCATAGCGTTCGGCTCGATGATCGCGTTCGCCAGCTACAACAAGTTCGACAATCGCTCCATCCTGTTCGACACGTTCATCATCTGCTGCCTCAACTCGCTGACCAGCATCTTCTCTGGCATCATCGTGTTTGCCACTCTAGGCCACATCGCTAAGGAGCTCAACCAAAAGATTCAGGAAGTGGTCGTGGCAGGTGAGAGTCGGTTGACCTACAGACATCAGCTATCACGAAACCGTCTTGCCGGAACAAGTCGTGACTCAGATTATGACACTAAACTCTGTTGGATTAGCACTCAGAGTGCAAGCCCTTTGTTTCGCGTTTAACATCTTAAAGGAAATGTTTCACATTTGAAGATATTGAAGCCAACATCAGATAAGATGAAACAGGCTCACTTCTGACTATTGGTATACTTTTAAGTAGAAATGACTGCTCTAGCCAACATAATTTCGCTGTTTATAGATATGCTTCTCAATACGCCATGGTTTGATAACGTCATTGTACCTTACATAGTATTGATTGAGAGCCAATTGGCGGCCGTTATATCTAGAAGTCGTGCCCACTAGCGCCAGACATGAACGGCTCGACCAGTACATTTTTTCTGGCCTTGATCGCCGCATGGCTAGTGGAATGACAGGATTTTAAGGATGTTTCTGCTGTGTCACGGATGCCTAGGTGAACTTGAAATAGTCTCCCCGAAATAGTTTGCACATCTTCACGTGCGTGTGGCTCGGGAACCATAAGGGCTCAGGTCTTGGGCAGGGCCGTGAACTGCACCGAATGATCTTCAAAACATCTATTGGAGTTCAAAACTCCTTACAGATGTTGAACAATTCCTTTAAGGCGGCAAAATGTTAGGATAATTAGAAGCAAGCGATACGCGTATTCCTTTCCGCTTGACTTTTATCGGGCACGCTGATGCAGACCTGTTGCTTCCGGAGAGTTTTGACTCGTACGTGAATGAGTACGCTTCAAAAAAAGACTATCTGAACCAAGGAGTGAGCGAAATGAGTAAGACGGGTGGGGTGGGGGCTCTTAGGGGGGGGGGGGGGGGGAATGACGGTATCGATCTCCAAAAACAAAAAAAAGAAGGTTTCTCAACAGATCTGGCCACAACTTCTCAAAGTTAGGGAAAGGAGGCTGGAGCCTTAATTGGAAATGGGAGGGGGCTGGGCCCTTAGTTGGGAAGGGGAAGGGGCTGGAGCTCCCCAACTAAAGAAGAAACTACACCCCTGCTTGGACCGCAACAGTTGCCAAGCGAGTGATGGAAATTGCGCATGCCCAAGTTGGGTATACTTTGCCAGTATCTAACATGACGAATTTGTTTGGGTATGTACGGTTTCACAGCTATAGCTTTTAATGAGTAATTTCTGGATGTTGTCAGCAGCTTCGTCGATCAAGGATAGTTGTACATTGTGCTGTGTTGTTTTGTGATCTAAAAATCAGACATTTCGAGAATCGGACGCCGTTTTCGGAACAGCGTTGTCTAAACCATTTCAGCCGATTCTAATGGGGGCGCTGCACATATCTGCCTGGCTTGTGGAGAGATAGCCTGTAATAGTGCTACACTCGGGACGCCAGTAACGTCGCCGCTGCCAGCCATATTACGCTGATTGTAGGCGGATGCCCGTGTGTCTGAATGGTGCGGGCACGGAGGCCGTATAAAACAACATTACGTATACCAAGGCCGATGCATTGCGGTATTACAGTTCCGCGAAGTACTGCGTGTCTGATTTGTGTGCATCTGTGATTCACACTTCATGCCTCAAAACCCCGTGGCACCGTCAGGAAACCGTCTGATGCTTCGCCAAACAGAAGGTTGCCTGCAAATGTGCTGGCAGTTGGTGCACAAACAGCTGTTTTGAAAACTCGCTGTCCTTGTACCCGCCATCGACAGTAATCGCTTGATGTGTTTTCTGCTGGACTGTTTCAGGACCCGGTCTAGTATTTGTGATCTACCCCAAGGCGTTGGCAAATATGCCGATTCCACAGCTGTGGGGTTTTCTCTTCTTCTTCATGCTGCTGTGCCTGGGTTTGGACAGCCAGGTGCGTACGCGACGTCGACTACCGCGGTGGCGTCGGTGGTACGCTGCACTCATTCATGGCAGCTCTTTTGGGGTCAAGTCGCTCGCACTGCTGTGCTCGCGTCAGACACCAAGCTGTAGCATTAAAAGATGATAGTAAATCTGTATCGTCAGCGTATCTGTGTGAAATTCGCATTTCCAACTTGCGAGCGTCTTCGCTGTTCTATGTTATGCTGTCATTTATGCTATATTTTGATTATTCCGCTTTTCTGCTAGATAATAACGTCACGAATGCAGTGGTTCTGCCATCTCGGTCCGGACCAACGCTACGTCATATGGTGCAGATGGCCAACATAGTTCAATAGACGCAGTACCCGTGTCGCCTAGCTACTTCAGCAGCTACAGCAGTTCCTCCTTTTCAGTTCGCCACGCTGGAGGTGGTGATCACAACCCTGCAGGACGCCTATGGAAAGTGGATCAAGGAGTACCTGAAGCGCCACGAGGTGCTGGTGCTGATGATCTGTCTCGTCTCCTGCGTGCTGGGCCTTCCGCACGTGACTCAGGTAGGCCACGCATCTGCCACCTGTCAGTCTTCGCTTTGCGACGCCGGACACTGTAATGACCCCAGGGAATTTCTCTCCACGGACGCAGGCGGGGCAATGATACCACTTTATTCCTGAGCACGTGGTCCGGCCACGTGTCAGCCACGTGTAAGGAAGTGTAAGCTGAGCCGAGCCCATGTAAAGCCGGATGGGAGTGGAACCCTCGCTGCATAAAGCTGGCGCGGCGTGGTGTCATGACCATGTTTGTTTGGGCTTTAAGCAGTAACAAGAAAATTTGTCGAAGTTTCTCTCGTTGTGCACAGGAAGCCTCAGGAAGTCCACCAACATTGTAACACAATGCTCCGACAGCGTTGTCGGGTTTATGTGCGCTAAATGACGCCTTTCGCAGGCGAGACACGGGCTTACAAACATGTCACGTGCGACGTTATCTTGTAAACGACTTATTCGTGTTACGGCTGTATGGCACGTAGGCTATGGATGAATGACATTTTCCATTTTTTGCACTCACTTCAAACTTAAATTGTACTTCGCATCTTAGTAGGTCAAATTCATTCCAGGCTTTCACTAATCGTCTTTCTTTTCTCCTTTGATTTGTTAATTTAAATCAACGTGCTAACATCTATGCATCTAATTGAACAAAAACAAGACACCTACGCCCTAGGACTTAACAACACCTGTACACATCATGACATCACACACGCCGCCAATGTACAGGTCACATCACATCGCACACGTCATCATTGCGCACATCATCACATCACATGCATCCCAGGATTCCGACCGCAATCCGTCTGCTGATAATCTCTATCGCCTTTCTTCATCTTCCGACCCTTTTGATATATGCAATATCGTAAAATAATCATCTCTGTTATTACAGCGAACATTCGTTCATGTACGTTTTGATTAACTTTCCTTCAGCATGTGTTTTCGTTCGCAATGTGACCTAGCACCCTCTGCTGATCGGCAGGGCGGCATGTACTTCTTCCAGCTGATGGACTACTACGTGGCCGGCATATCGCTCATGTTCCTGGCGTTCTTTGAAGTGATCGCCGTTACCTGGATCTACGGAACAGAGCGGCTCTGTCGTGACTTTGCCATCATGACGGGCGCGCGGCCCTCCATCTACTTCCAGATCTGCTGGAGATATCTGGCGCCCTTTTTGATCCTGGTAGGCACAACCAAGTATAATCGGTGACCTATGTATCGATGTATGCCACTGCTGGTTGTCCGTGAGCCCAGTCACTATCCCCTGCTCAAGGCCGGAAACGCCAAAAGTTGTCTACCGCGGGAGTGAGACAGGATGGTTCAACCGCGAGCCCAGCCTCCCCAGCCGCTCTGCCAGTCACGTGCCGTCGCGACGTGAGCACGTGATCACTGCGAGCGCTCCGGCGCCTCACCGCAGCGTGTGCCGCGCGGCAGGCCATCTGGATCTTCAGCCTGATCGACTACGAGCGTCCGACGTACGGCGCGTACCGGTACCCGGAGTGGGCCATCGGGCTCGGCTGGCTGCTGGCCTCGCTCTCCATCCTGCCGATCCCCGTCTGCGCCGCGCTAGCGCTCGTCCAGGCGCCTGGACGCACGCCCTGGAAGGTCAGCGGCCGTGACCTGGCCTCGTGCGCACGGCTGGTCATCGAGGACCTCGTCCGCGCACTCGTGCTAAGGTTCTCGTAATCAAGGTTGTAGCTGTCTGTGGACCTTAGTGGTTTTGTTTAATTTTTCTTTCCGATGCGTGAAGCGATCTGAGAAAGCTATCACAAAACGTCGTGTCGTTTCCCAGCGCCTCGGTCGGGCCGGATATGCCGTGGCGAAGATTGTCTGTCGGTGAAAATGTGCTGTGATGTTCATGGCCTCTGTCGTTTGAGAAGTGCCGTGTGTGGAATCTGTTGGTCGAGTTCTGTCATCTAGGTCTTGCTCTGCGGTGCATTGCCTCCGTCGGTGGGAGCGCTCTGTGCCCTAGGCTTTCGCGTCGACCGGTGCAATGTCCGTGTAGTGTTTCGACCGATCGAGACAGGCTGTGCTGTGCACCGGCTCGGTCGGTTGAGGCGCGCGCCGTGTGCTGCCCCCGGCCACCGACTCCAGTCGTGGTCCGCTCCATGGTCCTGCCGTTCTGAGCCTGCCGCCGTATCCGACAGCGGCTGATGGGTGCCATTCGGCCGGACCCCGACCTGTACCCGGACGGCATCTACGGAGCGGAGCATGGGGGCGCGTACGGGCTAACGCCGTCCTCGCCCACCAAGGGTGCCGGCTTGGTGCCACCCTCGCCGACCAAGGCCGCCACGTACCGGCGTACAGCCGAGGACTGACGCCAGCGCCGCCAGGCGGACCGGTGGGCAGTTGTTGATTCCGGACGCCACCGGTCGGCGACGCCACCGGCCGATCGTGACAGTTGTCGAGCTCGCCGACCGCGCCTGCGATTGACTGCCTCCCTCAGCGGGGGTGCGATGATGTTCACCGTTGTCGCGACTTTGAGAGATAACATTTCCAAGTGTGCTGATTCAGAGTCGTCGAGTCTGGCCGTCCCACTGAACCGTTTCCTTTCAATCAGTTGAGGACACGTATATTTCAGATAAGCGCGAAAGCTCATATTGAGCGCTAGGCTTCGGTTAACTTTGTATGTCGTATTTACGAAAACACATTACAAAGCATAAACGCGCACATTTGGTACGCTGGTGCGTTGACCTGCTCGCTTTTGGGCGGCTGCGGATAGAGAATGTCATATTAGTGCCTTCATAGCCCACGCCTGCCTCAATATACAGCCGACACGTCCTCACCGCATGCTGCAAAGCCCGGACGGAGCGCAGTCTGACCGGGGGCGGGTCGGGGTCACGTGGCATGCCACGGCGCGCACCCGACAGCAGAGCACGTGGCAATTGACACTGTGTGGCAGACACGTACATTCATACCCTAGACCGTCTTCGGAACGGCGGGATCAAGGCCTTCGCGTCGAGCAATGCTCAGCAATGATCCTGTTCCTACTCTGCAAAACAAGCCATCGAGTTGTGTTCAAAAGCTAATTTTGTTTGGAAAATGCATGGTACTGCTCACTCGGACCCGCACTTCGGGCTGACAATCCCGGTTATGCCCTTCGATGCACTGGGGCTCGCACTTGGGGATGGAAAATATCGGTTATATCCTTCAAAGCGCTAGGGCTCGCACTTGGGGCTGACGATCCCGGTTATACCCTTCGATGCACTCGGGCTCGCGTTTGGGGATGGAAAATCCCGGTTCTCCCGTTCGATGCACGACAGCGCTATGCATGTGGTGGCATATGCATGTCGTTGGAGTTCGGCGCTCTTGTGCTGGTAACCACCGTCAACTGAGAATGAGCTCTCAACGAGACCCCAGCTGGGAACGCCGCCGCACACCGCGAGAGTCGCCCGCTGCTACCAGTGCGGCGTAGCACCCAGACAATCCGAAAAGACCACCCGTCTCAGTTTGGAAAATGTATCACAGTCCACGCTTTAACACATGATACGTGATTTTTACATGATGTATATGACACACACGATTCGTACCACGCAGAACGCTGAACGTCGGTCTGCTTCAACTGACAGATGAGCGCGAGAGAAAGACCGTGCCGGCATCCACAACCACAAACGATCAACACCATCACACCCCACACAGTCACCCCGCACACAGCGCACGGTTCCCGCGCGCGCGCTGCGCATACGCAGACAGCGGACGCCGCAGCCGCGCCGCGTCCCTCTAAGCGCCGGGTAAGCTGCGTGCCTCGGCTATGTTCGGCATCTTCAACGTCATGATGGCCCGCTTCATCTGGTCGCGCTGGTGCGGTCCCAGCGACTGCCACATCCGCTCCAGGCAGCTCTCCTGGTGCCTCTGCGCACGAGGGAGGGGACACAGGCGTCAGAGAACAGGCAACGGCCGGGCGGTGCGTTCGCATGCACATTGCGTACCGCGGCGCTACACAAAGGCGTTCCGGCACGGCGTGCCGACGCAGGTGACTCTGACAGGCATGCACAGACGTTCAGTCATCCCAAGAATCAATGCACATCTACAGAACCCCATCACTTCCGCCATCCACGGCTACTACGAGGGCGTTGTTTTACTCATAGCGTGTTTACCTTGTTTAAGCGTAAAAATCCACACAGCCTTCCCACAGCGAGCCAATGGTTTGCAAATTCATTGCGGGATAAATTCATTCGTCCGGACAGCCAGAGAGCGTCCGACCACCAACGTCGGGGAGGTCCCGTCCGAGCCCCGCCCCAGCCTCAGACGCCAGCCCACCTTAAGGAACCGGAAGCAGTGCATGATGGTGGCGCCCACGTAGATAGTGCGCGGTGTCACCGGCTGGCCGCCCAGCGACGTCACGAACGGCAGCGCAGACGCCAGCTGGCGGTGCGCGTCGTGCGAGACGCGCAGCAGCACGACGCGCGTCACAGCATTACAGTACTTGACTGCCGGCCAGGGGGAGCACGGTCACACAGCGTACGCGCCGGGCAGAATCCCCAATGGGCCATGCTGAAAATCTCTCCCTTTTATGGACCATGTTTGGCAAAATGTATGGCGGAATCTCTTGATAACACTTATGAAAACAATGCCTTTGGCAAACGAAAATTGTGTGTAGCTCGGGTGCCCCGCAGACATCACGATGAGCACACTCTGACACTGCGGCGCGGGGTGCGCTTCTGCGCTCCCCATCAGCGGGAAGCTGGCACGACGTGGATCGGGCCGGCGCGGAGCGTCAGGCCAAAGGTCAATCGACGTGCAGCAGCCGCGGTCCACATTCATGCAGACACAGGCGCAGCACGAGACGTGCTCATTGTGCCTTTGTTATCGGGACCGATCGGCTTCCGCGAAAATTTTCGCATAACAAGCTACCGGTCACATTGCCAGGCAGCTTTTATCTCCGGTATAAACGGGGCCTAGCGCTGGTCGGTAAAAGCTCTGCCGGCAGCGTGGACGGCCAATATGCGGTACTGAAAGAATAAAATGTTAATTGCCACGGTTGTGCGCGTAAGTCACAATAAAATTACAAGAAATAAAATTCAGATTGCGGCGCGCATCAATCAAGTATAGCCGGTAACACAATATCAAAATGCCTTTCTTGAAACGTACCTATTAGCCTCGTCTTCACAGCAGCAACGCCATAGTCGCCATGGATCTGAGACACAGCTTCTAAAACTGCCTGGTAGATGGCGTCCTCCTTGATTTCTTGCCTGAGAGGGCTTGCCTCGCTCGCAGGGATCAGCTCCACCACAAAATACCTTTGCAAATACAGATCAGAAACTGGGATGTGCAAAAGGCCAGACAAATGACCAGCTTTCTCTATCAGCCAAGTTTGTATCTCAGGATGCCACCATAATACCCCCACTGTAGCATGCACTAAAGGAGGGGCCTGCAGCTCCTCCTTCAGAAGAGGATCAAATTAAGGGGGTGGGCAGGTGGGAAGGGACTTGGAGGGGAGCCATCTACCTCTGGCACTGGAAGGATTCAGGAAAACAGATGCAAAGCTGTTACAAGCTTAGTCACTAATCAATATGAATTCACAGGGCTTGACTAGTATAACATGATAATAACATGTCCATCTTCCATTCACCAAATATATGGAATAAATCAGTGACACAAGCATAGGATCCCACTTTAACATCTTACCTGTTCTTTAGTCGAACCATGACTGCAGCAACCACTGTTCCTATGTGCAGCCAGGTTTACAAATCTAAAAACAAGAGGAAATTTACTGGTGAATATTGTACATGTTGTACATGCACACAGGTAAGATGACACTGTTCTTCACCACTTTATCCCTTTATGCCACCAAGCTGGTGCTGGTATACCTCATGTCTGTGGGATTTGGCACTAGCACAAGTATGTGCATTTGTAGAGCATATAAGGCTTGGAAATCTGCCTACACATTTTGGCTGGTGACAGCAAAAACTTAGGACACTGCAGTCAGGAAGCCAGCCCTGAAACCCATGTGAAAATAGAAAGAGTTAAGATGTAATAGTAAGCATTAAGCTCAAATGGCAATATCTTCACCACATTTGCTCATGTTATGAATGCCTTTCTGAAATGAATCTGTCAGCTAATCATAGCAGCAATATCACAAGGTTTTGGCAGATGGTTAGCCTCATCCATGTAAAGAAACATGTTCCTGTAACCAGCATGTACATCCTGTGACATGGGAACTGAGGAGCAGGAGAGCTTCAGTTTTCTGAAAATTTATTATTGACCTTGGAGGCATTGAATGGAAGGAAAATAAGACAAATTGGATACACACAAAGCACCTCAAGATAATTTTGCTTTCCTTGCAGCCTGGGCATATAGTTAGGAGAAAATTATCATGCAGTATGCAGGATACAGCTGACCAAAAATTTAATTCAAATGCACCACAAAAATCAGCTTCACAGATGCCCACCTACTACAGCCAGTAGAAGTAAACCTTCTGAGGAAATGAGAAAAGGAAAAATGTTATTTTCAACCTGCTCTTTTCAATAGCTCAATACAAGTGACATACAATTTTAAAATTTTGCTCTTCATTCTTCACACACACACAAGTCTAATCTTGATATGACATCAATTATGACATGCACGTGGGTTGCCCCTGCCCCCTCAAATGCTGCCATGGCTACTATAATACAATAAGAAGCACTTGGTACGTGAAAGGTTCTCAGCTCCTGGCCTTTTGGCACAAATAGCTGACTGCTGTGCTAGACAGCTTTTAACTAAGATAACTGAGATTCAACACCCTATAATAATAAATATACTGGTTAAACGGCGTTGTGCCAACTAACAATATAATACGGCTAATATAATCGTTATCAAGCACTACAACGCCGTCTTACCGGCACCTCCAGATAGACTGAAGTTTGTTCACTCGAAACAAAATTTTCAACTAACAAAAATAAGAAGTTTCATACTTGGTCAAATTGGCGCCACGCGAGCCATGCCGGACATTACTCACTGTACGAGCTGTGCGGAACTCCGTGCGTTCAACGCAGAAATGTCAGTGGTTACAGTTGTCACACCTGCGCCATTAGCCGGTCAAGGCTGCCCCGCAATATCCTTCCTTTTCATTTATGCTGGAAAGGAACATACGTCAGTGGAGAACTTTTTTACTGCTGTGGGCGAGAGGGAGAAGAAACCCCGTTTTTCTCTCAAGATGTGGGATTAACCCATGAACCCTGCCCATCCTTTTCCCGAGATGCATCTTTTCCATGAATTGTGTCCAGTTTACGCTACGGTCATGATTTCGAGCTACTATAAGGAAGAAAGGCTTGCAGCTCCTGTTTGGGGTATTACCTTACCTTACCTTACCTTATGGTGATCGGGAATTGTAAAAGGCCACTAGGCCTGTAGGTCTCGGTCTCGTCAGGCTCCCGGTCCGGTAACCAAACAGTCTCAAATTATGGGAAGATTCTGTGTGGGACGTCGTACATGATGTCAGCCCAGTGCGTATCAAGCCTAGACTCGAACTGTTCAACTGAGGTCGACGACGCGACCAGGTGTGGAAGAGCGTTCCAGTCGTTGACAACCCGCGTGCTGAATGAGTTACGATGGACGAGAGTCCTAGCTCGAGGTTTTCTGAACTTCCATTGGTGTCCTCTCGTCACCTCCGAGTTTTGTCTTGTCAGGAACTCTTCTCCCGGTAGCGACATGCCCCCGTGAAACAGCTGGTACACTGTTACCATGTCTTCCCTGCGACGACGATAGTACAGTGAGGGCAACTGAAGGAGTCTGAGCCTCTCAGGGTATGGCTGGCGCAACTCTTCTCCCGGTAGCGACATACCTCCGTGAAACAGCTGGTACACTGTTACCATGTCTTCCCTGCGACGACGAGAGTACAGTGAGGGCAACTGAAGGAGTCTGAGCCTCTCAGGGTATGGCTGGCGCCTCACTTCATAGACAAGCCGGGTAGCTCGTCGCCGAACCCGTTCCAGCCGTTTCTGGTCCAGTTCGCCGAACGGGCCCCAGATAACGTTGCTATACTCTAAGTGCGAACGTACTAAGATCTTAAAAAGTAATAGCAACGTGCGAGCATCGATATTGGCAAAAGACCGCCTCACGACCGCCAGGATCTGGTTGGCCTTGAAGATCGCTTCCGCCGTCTGCACGTGGAACTGGAGCCGGTAATCCACGAAGATCCCGAGGTCCTTCTCGGTGGACTCGACCGCGATTTCGGCACCGTCCGAGAAGTACGTCAGCCTCGGGTTGCAGTTCCCGATGTGCATTATTTTGCACTTTTCTGCACTAAAGGGGAGCAGCCACTCCTTTGACCACTTGGCCAGGGCGTCGAGGTCAGCCTGCAGAGGTGAGTGAGTCAGGGGTCTCGGAACAAGACAGTAGACCTTGGTGTCATCCGCGAGCATCTTGACCACGCTTCGCACTTGTTCTGGCAGATCGTTCACGAAAATAATGAACAGCGTTGGTCGAAGTACTGACCCTTGCGGGATGCCGCTGATGACGTCGGTCCAGTCCGACTTCGAGCCCTGGACCCGCACTCTCTGCATCCGGTGAGTAAGAAAAGCCCTGATCCAGCGTAGCAAATTACCTCTCACACCGTAAGCATGAAGCTTGGAGAGCAGACGGTTATGGGGAACAGAATCATTTGTTGCTGAACACAAAAAATTGCTGAAGTCCAGATACGCCACGTCCACCGGCTCTCCATCCTCTACCAAGGCGCTCCAATCCCCCATGACCTCAAACAGCTGGGTGGTACAGGACCGCTTAGCAGGTATTATTAGCAGAAAATAACTATTTTGGGATACCGACCTCCAGTACACGTGGAGATGTTGATGAAACGGCGTTGTGGTGTCACAGAACGATTATATTGACGGCACTCTATACAACGAGCTGCCCTCATCCTCAAAAACTCATCTCTAGAGGACGAGCACGGCATAGCACATGGACGTATGTATTTTAGAAATGTTTCTTCACAGTCGTTTCACGGCTTCTTGGCCGATTTTGCGCCCTGTTTTGGTTCAAAGATGGGCCATTTGCTGGAGAAGAACCAGCCACTACTTTGTCACAGCACCTGCCTGTCATAGTGGACACCGCACAAGCCCACAAATGGCGCCGCTTCCGGGCCGCTCCAGGTGTCTGAGGAAAAGCAGCAATTTTAGGTGGCTGTTGGGCTCCTGCCTGAAGTACCAACCACTGAAGCTAAAGAAAATATTTCATTGAACGATGTGATGGCAATGCCCCAAAACTGTGCAAATTTGATGTCCTCATCCTGCTTTTAATTGATCAATACAGACAAGGGGTCATCCTAATGGTGGGTGGGAGACGGTATGGGGCCATGCCGTCCGCCCCTTGGGCCACACATGAGCGACCCCCTAGGGCCACACCAAAAGTTCATTTCGCAACCAAACAGCAGATATTTCCAAGAGGCACCAAATTCCAGTAACACCGCAAAGGGTCCAAAATTTTCACTTCCGGGAGTAACCAAATTCCAGGGGCACTACTATATTTGTACCTTGGCTGACAAAATCCTGGATCGGCCCATTCGGCAAAGGAGCAATAAAACCATCATTTCCAATACCAAAAGCTTTGTTGTCAAGATGCACCCGATTCCAGAGAACACCGCGAAAGGCCGCAAACCTTCATTCTCAACAGGCACCTCCTACCCCGAACAAAATCCTAGAACATCGGCGAAGTACAGGTAAAATCTTTATTTCGAAGCATCGTTACCTTTATTTTCAAGAGTGGCTTCTGTGCGTTTCCCCGTAATGAAATTCATGATAGGTACGTTCTTCGACGTTCGGCAAAGTGGCACTAGCATTTTTTCATTTTGGGGAGTCATAACCTTCATTTTCCAGTGATGCCCAATTCCGGGCAGGGGGGGGGGGGGCATTTCGAAGGGTCACAAATCATTTATTTTTAAGAGACAACAAATTTCAGGGCAAATTGCAATGCCTATGACGCTCCATAAGCGAAATGATGGATCGGCCCATTCGGCAAAGCACACCAGAGACCTTATTTCGTAGCACCAAAACATTCCTTTCCGAAATTTTAATTTTATGGGACACCAATATTTTTTTTTCTATCTATCGTGAACAAATGGTGGATTGACCCCTTTGACAAAGAAGCACCACAAAACCTTAAGTGCGGAGCATTATTAGCATTAAGCTGACATCCGATTCCAGAGGGCGCCACAATGGTTCCTAAAACATTTGTTTTCAAGGGACAACAAACTTTAGGGCACTACAATGTTCGCATCGTTCCAGGGAAAAATCTGAGATCGGCTCATTTGGCGTCGGGTCGCGAAAACTCTTATTTTGGGGCACCGTGACCTTAATAATTAAGTAAGCACCCGATCGAAACGGATCATTTCAAGGCTACCTACATTTTCATTTTCAAAGGGCACCAAAATCTGCGACTACACAACTTTTACGCCTTCCACCATGACGAAATCTTATGTCGGACCTCTCGTCAAAGAGATATCTGATGCTTTCATTTGGGGCATCACGACTCGTACCTTGACGAGGCCCGCTTCCAAGAAGGCGGCACCACGAGGGCCTCCAAGCCCTTTCAATTCAAGTGGCATCCAAATCAAGAAGGCATGAAAATTTCTCCTTTTATTTTCACCAGGAGCCGAGGGCGTCACCATCGGCAAGGCAGGGACATGCGATTACCTCAGGTCTGTCTGTTTGTCATCAGGATTACCCATGAGACAAACCAGCGAACTCAGAAGAAACCGGTAAAGTTGAAGAATATTGTCAAGCAGAACCAAAAATAGGACCAACCGGTGCAGGACAAAGAAGTGATGGAAAACATGTCCAATGTATGAAGAAGTAAGAGAATCAAGTCTTTGGAGTGAGAATATTTAAAAATTTGTCGCACCGCTCGTCGAAACACGTTTATCTATGTGAGGCAGTTCCGATCAACGTGAAAAAAGACTCCAGCCGGCTGGAACGGAGTGCCCACGCACAGTAAATCATAACTTTGTACGGCACACAACGGTAACGCGCCGACAGTAAGTCATAAGTGACGGCACCTGAGACGCGCCGTATCTTCGAGAAAGGCGCCTTGAACATATTCTAAACAGAGACTCTAAAATATGCGAGAATCGGAGCCACTGCCTTTTCCACCACCCACCCTGTCTCTTTCACCAAATGCAGAAGCATTTTCCAGTGAGATCCAGTAAGTTTTGTCTTCGCTGCCCCTTACAAATAGAGGCCTCCATGTATTGGTTCAACCCAAGGGTGCCCAAGTGTAATTGGCATTGGGCTGGGTAAAGGTTCTGTGAATGTTATTGATATATTTTAGGTTATGTGTAAAACGCTTCCGATTTCTTTGTAGATACTTCAAAAAAGATTTTCAAATGTTCCTACTTGCGCTTATCTTAGCCATAGTTAGCTCCCTTCCCACTGTTTGTGCGATTATCAACGCAAAAGAGCAAATCTGCGAGCAAAGCTCCCTGTAAACCTTGCCTTATTTTGAGCTTAAGAGCTGAAAAAGGTAAACGGGTTGACAACGGATAAGAACACCTGCTAAGAAGTTAGAAGCGAATGGGTGTGAGTACGAGCCATGAGTGGCGGGTCTATTGGGAAGATAGAATCTTACCCTTAAATGCGTCTGCTTACTGTTTCAGTGTTTAAATGATCTATGTCCTTCGATTCCAAGAGTTAGCTCTATCTAGGTTGAGAAAATATCTATCTAGAAGAAAAAGAACCAGTTTTTCAAGCCCCACAAAACGCTGAGCAGCAGTAGTGAACTATAGCACTTTTGCGCCTTTTGCATGGACCCGCGACGCTGCACACTATGGCCTAAGATGCTTCTGCAATGCTGATAGCACTGCACGCTTTTAACATGTCACAGGGCTTACCCAAACATACATTCGAGTTTGGGGTCAATTTGACCCCCGAATGTGTTTCCAGAATAACTTTCGGGCTACGCGGCGTGGCCGTGCCAAACCATGTGCAGCTGTAGGCAATGGAATGCCCAATTTTTGAATGA